GTTGATCAAAACTGTAGACGAATCCTTTTACTATAGATGCATGAGATGTCACAAATTGGTATCAGAGCAAGTGTATTGAATGGATTTGATTGATAGTTTGATAGAATGGATAGTTTCAAGTGCATCATTTTGCATACATAGTGAATGACATGTGATTGAACTGTATGATTGTATGGTTTTCGATGAGTTTTAATTTTGATTCGATTAAACTGTATGATTGTATGGTTTTCGATGAGTTTTGATTTTGATTCGATTTGATTTGAGTTTTGATTGGACGGATTTATTTTGTATCGACTGTGTTTTGTTTGAGCCCTTAAGGGAAATGTCGGGGACGACATTTTTCTTAAGGTGGGTAGATTGTGAAACCCCTCCGAAGTGCATTTTTTTAAGTGCAGTTAGTCCGTACGAACTGACTTTATTACAGAAAGAACTGAAGGAAATTGTGAAGAATCTGTATGGTTCGTCTGGACGAACCTATACGAGCCTGGACGAATCATCGGGACAAAATTTATCCAGAGAGCAAATCATCCAGAAACGAATACACTTCGTTTGGACGAGATTTGTCCAAAGGGCAAATCATCCTGGGATGAATAGGAATCATCCGGGACGATCCTGTTTGATAAGTATTGGATTTGACATATTTTTGAGATATTTTGGATCATTTTGAAGAGAGAGAAAAAGTTGGAGAGAGAAAGAGAAGGAAAGAGAAAAGGAAGGCTTGGTTTTGGAGGCCGCGGAGCGATTTTCGTCCGATGCCGTTGTTGGAAGATTTGTTTATCTCGTAGTAAGGACTCCGAATCATATTTCTGATTTCGAAAATTTTGAGTTTTGATATTTCTCTGCTCAGTTTCGTATTTTTCTTACCGAAAAATGTGTATATCTTTGTATTGACGAAACTTTTACCGCGTAACTTTTGGTATGTTATTGAACTAATATTTTTGTACGATTTGAGTATTTTATGGAAAGTTTTACCGGATATTTTGAGTTATGATGTGTTTTTATCAAATAGTAAATTATCCGGATGTTGAAAAATATTGCTTCAGTACAAGTAAAGCTTTGAAATGATGTTTTATTTGATTTCTGGTAATTTGGTGATTTTCTGAAACTGTGTATTTTAACTCTGTTTGGGATTTCTGTCGACTGTATGATATTTTGAGGATTCTCTTCATTTGAGTTAAATCATGTTTATTGATTGCAATGCATTAATGAGATGTATATAAATGTGGATATAAGATTGAATATACTACTATTACTGAAAGACAAGTAAAAACTAGTTGAACCGTTGGTTGAAGATCGACATGTACAGGTTGGTGGGCCGACGGGCTTCCTTTAAAAAGGGTTTGGTGTTATCCTCTATTGATCACGTGATACAACGATTGTGAGTCATAAGAAGATTATTATGCCGACGGGCAAGGGTGACGACCCTTATTGAGCCAACAGATACAACGATACATCGATATTCAAAGACTAAAAAATGCCTTAATAGCCAGTGATTGTGCTTGTTAAGTAAGACTACTGTATTGTAATGCATGTGTAAGTACTGTTTTTATAATTTCCTTATGGACTTACCGATATTGCTTGATTTCTTGTATCGACTGATTTGTTGATATTGAACCGATTTATTGATTTACTGATTTATTGATATTGACGGATTTATTGATTGAGTATAGATTTATTGATGAATTTATTTACTAATGGATTTACGAGTTTACAGTTACTGTACGATTTCATTAATATTGCATATTGTACATGTCACTGAATACATATATTGATATGGATATTTATATTGATATTTTATTGATTCATTGATACTACGGACACCGATATTATTGATTCACCGATCTATCGATTTATTAATACTATTGATTCATTGATACGATTCATTCATTAATACCATGATTTCATTGATACACCGAATATTGATCTACTACTAGTAATACATTGATAAGACTGATAGCATGTGATACACCGAGCACGTGACATATATTGTTTTTATAATGTATGATTTGATTTCCACAGTTTTTCACGATATTTATATTGATATTAATTTGATCGTTTTATATATTTTATACCGATTGATACTATTGATCGGAGTATTAATTTGATTGATATTATTGATACGATGATTTTTCTTTATGAATTTGATTGATGTTTGAAGATACGATCGACTTGACGTATGGATTGATTTATTGAGCATTATGGATTTTCTATTGTTTATCGATTCTCCTACCGACGATTATGTATTTTATTGATTATGCATTGATTACTGATTTTTGTATCGGCATGGATTCAATAATAATGTGCAAGTGACTGGTATGGATTTGACTGATTGACATGCATATTATTTCAGTATCATGCTTTGACTTCAGTTGTAGGCTTTGGTGACCTGCTGGGCTCTTTGAAGCTCATTATATGTGGTTAACAATTTCAGGTATGAGCAAGGGAGTAGGAAGTGTTGGTTGATCATGACTGTCGACGAATCCTTTCACTATAAACGCCTGAGATGTCACACTCACCCTCCCGTCCAATACTACATCCACACATATCACTAATACTCCAGCTAATCCACTACCTCCACCAATTTGCAGCGCCTCACACCCGATGCAAACTAGATTAAGATCCGGCATCTCTAAACCCAAACAAATATTCACAATCCTTAGCACTATTCCTTCTCCTTCCAGACCAACCACGTACCCCCAAGCAGCAAATTTTCAACATTGGCGTAATGCAATGGCTGAAGATTTTACCGCCCTTCACCAACAAGGGACCTAGTCCCTAGTGACTGCTCCTCATAACAAACCGATTTTAGGTTGTAAATGGACGTTTAAAACAAAATGTCTTCCCGGCGGCCAAGTTGACTGCTATAAAGGTTACCTCATCGCTCAAGGCTACAATCAACAATTCAGCATAAAATATACATAAACGTTCAGTTCGGTTGCAAAAATACCAACTATTCACATCCTCCTAACTATGTCTATTAATCAGAAATGGCCAATGCTCCAACTAGATGATTCCAACGCCTTTCTTCATGGCGATCTTCAGGACGACATTTACATGCGACTACCTCCAGGATTCATAAATCCAAATCTTTCGAACGCTGTATGGAAACTAAAGAAATCTCTTTATGGGCTGAAGCATACACCTCGCCAATGGTTCCAAAAGCTGATGAGTTTCCTACAATCTTACGGATTCAGGTTTAGTTGTTCTGATCCCTCTCTACTTCTCTTTCAGCGTAATAATACCCATATTTATTTTTTGATTTACGTCGATGATATCCTTGTAACAGGAAATGACTCTACTGCCATTCAATCACTTCTTCAACAACTCCACTATCAATTTGCTCTCAAGCAGCTAGGACAAATCTCTCTCTTCCTCGGGATACATGTTCTCCGCACATCGGAAGGTTTCACTCTCACCCAACAACACTATGCCACAAAACTTCTTCAAGATGCGGGATTCATAGAGTACAAGCCGGCACCCACATCAATCACACCAAAGTACAAACTTAAACCCGAAAATAATCAACTGTTTTTTGATCCTGCATTATACCGGAAGCTCGCAGGTTCACTTCAATATCTCTCCATCACTAGACTGGACATCACCTTCGCTACCAATTCTATCTGCCAACATAAGCACAACCCCACCGAGCAAGATTTTCAATCTTTAAATCATCTTCTCTGGTACATCAAAGGCACATTATCATTCGGTCTACCTCTAACTACGGGGGATCTCCAACTATGATCCTACACAGACACTGATTGGGCATCCGACTCAACGGACCGAAAGTTCATTTCCGGATTCTGCACATTCTTAGGTCCAAATCTCATATCTTGGACCGTCGAGAAACAGGTAACAGTTGCCAAGTCCTCCACTGAGGCAAAATACCGGTCCCTCTCCGTTGCTACCTCCGACGTCATCTGACTTCGTCGCCTTGTAGCCGAGCTCAATATATCACAAGCATCACCAACAATAATACACTGCGACAACGTTTCAGCCATCGCTCTTGCAAAGAATCTAATATTTCACGCACGAACAAAACACATCGAGATCGACTATCATTTTATTCGTCAGCATCTCAGCTTCGGAGACATCGCTCTCACCCACATTTCTTCACAAGATGAAATAGTAGAGATCCTTACCAAAGCCTTTTCTCATGCTAGATTTCATAATCTTCGTCGCAAATTAACCATTCGTCCAACGAATGATTAATTTGAGGGGGGCTGTTAGCGCATAACTGACTGCTGCCTATGACGTGTCACATTATTTACTTATTTGCCCATTGTATTTCTATTTAACTTCTTGTAATCTTGCTCATTAGACAATATACATTTTTCCCTCTCTGTTTTCCTGTCGCTGCACTCTTTCAATATGAACATTCATATTTAACGAAGAATATATAGAAACAAATAAAGAAAAAAAAAGATGAAAAAGCAATTAGGATTATCTTTCTTTCATTTTTTTTATTTCTATTTATCTATTTTTTAATGACTACCAACACTTTTGATATTATTTTTAATTTCCCTGTCCTGTTATGTGTACCTTGTATTTTTTTTTTTTGGGAAATTATTGTACCTTGTATTTGGGGTTGGTTTAATTGATTTTTGTAAGGCTTTGTGTCAGCATCAACTTATGAGAAATAGTCTATTATATTTAAATAATTCATTCAAAATAGAAAAAAGAAAATAAATTGATACATAATTCAACTTTCAAAACCAAATTTAAAAATAGTCTCAATATTTTCTCCTGATTATAATAAATAGGGTTGGTAGCCAGCCAACCTAATTCATGCCATGTTGCACGATGGCAACACGCCAGCAAACCTCGATTTGGTGGCATCTTTGTAATTTATGCCTTTTTTTGGTCTAAATGCCTGCTTCAATTATTCATTTTTATCCGCATTTTCCCCCTATTTTCTTTTCCTTTATCCCTTGAGAAGTGGAGAACCCACCCACTACTGATGAAATTAAAAATATCAGAGCTACTATCGCGCACTCTCTCTCTCTCTCTCTCTCTCTCTCTCTCTGCAGGGACCGGAAGAGGCCACTTTCCTCATCCCACGAGTATTCAACTGTCGCTGCATTCACCGCTTGTTGAATTGTCTTAGTCTCTGAGCTTTTAGGAGGAATTGGAGCAAATTTGAAGCGGTTAGTGTAGCGGATATTGGTAGTTGTGTCGGCCGGGATAGCAGAGTTTTTTTCGCTTCGGAAGAAAGCGATGTCGGTAGCGTTGGATCGTAGGTGGGAGTTGCAGCTGGTGGTTTGATGGAAGCCACCGTCTTGAGTACTTGTGTGCCCTATTGATGGAGGTGAAGGCCTGGGGGGGATGTGGGCTTGCAATTCCGTCGAGAGTTCTTCTTTGGCTGGTCGCAATACAGGTGTTTTCCCCGGTCATCACTGATCTTTACTATTTTTTTACTTATTTTGCTTTTGTTTGGATCTGTTCAACTGGTCAATTGTTTCGTGGAATTTGCTAGGGTTTAATGAAGCTGCTGTACATTTTTTTATAAATGTCTGATTGGCTGTTGATGAGCAGGAATTTGGAGTTGGCCTCGATTAGGGTTTTCAGTTATGTGTTTTTTTTTTTTTTTTTTGCAAGTCCCGATTTTTTTTCACTGGTTTATGCTGCCGAGCATGTTTGGCTTTGTACCTGTAGTTTTTCCCTCTTCGGAAATGTATTTAACCGTTTTCCTTGCTTCCTCTTATCTTTTCATCACATTCAACGTTGCGTTATTGTTGATCTATCCTGTTTTGGCTTGCATTAGAGATGACCAGGCTATTTTGGAAGCACTCCTGTTGCATAAAAAAAAAAAAAAACATTCTTTTGTTTTGCTAGTTCTTTAGACCTATTTGATTAAGCTGGCCTTTAATGCAGTATTTGTAAGGTCTAGGAGAGAACAATGGATCTGACTATCTGTTTTTGCTTACTTTGATCTGTTTAGATCGTTGCATTATTTTCCACTGGTACTGGGAGTCTGACTGTGAAATCTGAGGGGAATTTTGTTCATTCACAAGGCTATGAAACGGGATCTTACCTGTCACATTCGTGCATACATGATGAAATATTGCATCAGAGGAGGCGCCCTGGGCGCAAGGAGTACTCTATCACCCCTCAGGTCTACGAGGAGTCTGATTCATCGAGAAGCCAAGGACACAGAGGAAGGGCATTGCTTTCACTTTCATCTCTGCCCTCACAGCCAAAGGATTCAATGCATCCTATTAGGATATATTTAAACTATGATGCTGTTGGGCACTCCACAGATAGAGATTGCAGATGTGTTGGGGACGTTGTGAAGGTTTGTTGATTCAGTTAAATGGATTTAGGGTAGTTCATACATTTTGTTACCTTGCACCTTGTTGGCATGGTATTATTCTGTTTTTGCTTGTTTTCTTTAAGCTTGGTGAACCTCCTGCTGCCTCGATGCCTGGAAACCGTGCTTGTGATCCTCATGGGGATCCACCAGTTTTTGTGGACTGCTGGTACAATTGTACCATTGAAGATATAGCTGGAGAGGATAAGAAGCAGCGCCTACGTAAGGTTACAAGTTTACCTTTTCTTGATTTTGCTTGCAGGAACACTAATGCCTCTTAAGTAGCATGTTTATCAAGTATTCTTGTTTTGATTGCATGGTGTGAATTTATGCTTAGCATTTTAAATTTTGATCCATAATTGATTTGCTTTCTTTTATATAACATGGAGTAGGCACTTGAGAAAACTGCAGATTGGTTCAAGCGAGCTCTATCTGTTGAACCTGTAAAGGGGAATTTGCGCCTGAGTGGATATTCTGCTTGTGGTCAAGATGGAGGGGTGCAGCTTCCACATGAGTACATTGAGTGTAAAATCTTTATCCTGCCAACTTCTTATATTTCTTCACCATTCTTATCAACTCTAAGGGTTATATTAACATCGGTCTTAGCTTTATTCATCTTTTGATGCAGATGGTATTGTTGATGCAGACCTTGTTCTTTTGGTTACTACTCGACCAACTACTGGAAATACCCTTGCTTGGGCAGTTGCTTGTGAGCGTGACCAATGGGGCCGTGCAATTGCTGGTGAATCTTCCTTCAATCCATCTTAGATTTTCTTGTTTTGGTTTTTGAGATTTTCTAAATCTCTAATTTCCTGTGATTTGCAGGGCACGTGAATGTTGCTCCACGCCATTTAACCGCCGAAGCCGAAACTTTACTTTCAGCTACTTTAATACATGAGGTTGATACTTATTTGTTGACATTAAACTTTGAAAAACTTGTAACTTCCATAGTTGTCTTGAAATTTTTTTTTCTGTGCAGGTCATGCATGTTCTAGGGTTTGACCCTCATGCTTTTGCACATTTTCGTGATGAAAAAAAAAGAAGGCATAGTAAGGTAACTGCCCTGCATTTGCTTTTTCCTTTACTTTATTGGTGAATATTATGCAATATAATTGGAAGGAAGAAGTTATGGTCAACAGTTGCCATTATAACCAAAAGGGAAGAAGAAAATGGAACAAAGAAAGGCAAGAAATAGCATAATTTCCAAATATTAATGTTCTTTTGGAGTCACTCTTATGTCCTTTTATAAGAATAAAGCATGATGGAATAAGAAGGAAGTTTAAGTTCAAATTGAAATTTGATTTCAATTTTGACATCATATATGTGGTTACTAAGCACATCGTTGATAGATTTAATGAAAAACTATGAATGCATAAATGCTTAAATTATTAGTGCCATACCGATGCTTAGTTGGGCTTGATTATTGCTTGAACTGAATTTGAAAATTAATAAATAACCTTGAATAAGATTTTAAATTTGGATCATATTTAATCTCATCGCAAACTCTATATAAAAATAAATGAACTAGTTTGAATAGGATAATACTTAGTTTGACTTGGTTCATTTATGACCACAACTTAGTTAATTTTATTATTGTTATTGGACATAATCTTTAGACTTGAATCAGAATACTTTTGAATTTGATTTTATGTTTTTTCTTATAAGTTCTATGAGTTTGAACCTATTTGGAGGTAGTTTATTGGTTTTTAAAGGCTCTAGGATATTAAATCCAAATAATATTCCTAAAAAAAGAGTGACATTTCCCCTTCTAAATGATATTCACTTGAGGTTTACTTATTTTTAAGATTTTGGAGGAGAGGATTCTGTTCCTTACTTTTATTTGTTTGATCCATTAATTGTTTTATGGCTAATATGTTGAACCCAAATTGTTGGATAAGGCTAATGATAGTGCGATGATTATGCAAATCAATCATGGTGAAATTGAACGGCTTAGGGCTTGATGAGCATTATCTAACTTAAGTTTTTGCTGATTTGAAGTCCTGTTGTAACAATGATTGAAGTGATTGGGAGGTTGGGGAGAAGAGCAAAATCTAACTTAAATTTTCTTGTTTTCATTGTTCATTTACTTCAAATGCGCATGGATATTTCATATGGATTCATCCCTACAATCTTTTTATTTATGAATGCCAGCTTTATACTATTTTCTAATCGATGATTTGAACCATTGGATATCCGTTCTCATACTTTTTGTGCATGTGAATTTGTTTTGAAAATAGACCAACTGGAAAGGTGTTGTAAATTGTTCATTTATTTGTATCAGATATATTTTTTAAATTTTTTTTATTACGAACATCTAAAATATTTATATCAATTCTATAAATCAAATATAGTTATGATGATCCAATTAGGATGGTCAGAGCGCCACTTTATATATACATGAGATTATTTCATGACCTTCTACTATAGTAAAAATCCTATTTAATTTTACCTTTTTTTTGCTCGTTCACCTTCAAATTCATTTGGATACTATGCGAAACCATTGAGTAACAAAAGTCCCCTAAAATCATTCAAACAAGTTGTAATTGATATAAATGCAACTCAAGATAGCTATCTAAATACCAGGGCTAAAGCCTCTTTCTCTCGGATTCACTTTTGAAGTGTAAAATCTATTTTTATTAGTGGTTAAATTGTTCAATCTTCATAATTATCTTATGTATGCAATGTTTCTTGGTGGAAAATATATAAGAAAATTGCGGAAATGCCATGATATTTTTCTACTTCCTAGAATAATTTTTATTCTTTTTCTTTACGTCAACTTTATTATTCACCTTCAAGTCCATATGTGAACATATAATTGTCTTTCATAGTGAACATATGCTTTAAAATCATATAAATTAAACATCTTCAAGAAGTAAATCAGCTTGCTTTTCCTTCATAATAACTAACCGTGAATGGATTCATTTTCCCTTATTCTATCCGAACTCATGAAAAATTCTCTTCATTTAAATTTTGCTATGCTTGTTGGAAAGTTTTTTTCTTGAAGTCATTGCAATGATTGGCATTAACATTACACTTCTTGAAATGTTCCGTTTCTGAATAGAAATGTTGATTTCAATCAATCTGTTGGGGAGACATCCAACCCAACCGCATCTGTCTTAACAACTCAAGCTTAAGTTGTTGAGTTGTCAGCCCAAATCAACCTTGTCTTCTAAGCGAAGGGAACAGACTTGCTCAATTTGGTTCTATTTGAGTAGATGGATCATCCAATCAAGTCAAAAGGCTCTTATCAACATGATTGTGCCAAATGTTGGTGTTGCATTTTATTCTTTGGCGTTTGCTCTTTAGAATTTGTAGGAACACAAATTCCTTTTAAATTCATGAGTCTAGCTAGTTCGTTACAAGGGGCTGTTTGATTTGGAGGATCATTTGTCAAATTTGAAGATACTATGACTATATTCATCATGTCTGATGCAATGAGAGTAGAGTATTTGTCACACTCAAAATTCTACGATGAGTTAGTTCTGCCATTTTTCAAGAACATCGCTTCGTTTGATGAGTTGAGGATATAGTGATTCACATAAATGTATAACTCACAGATGCCCTTGTCTACATGAAACAAAGACTTAGAGGGAGTATATATAACAATGATTTATTCTAGTCACCTATGAGATTATTGAAGTTGATTGGTTAGTAGCAAACTAGTTTTCATCCTTGGGCTAAAGTAATGCCTATTTAAATTTATTTTCATTGAGAATTTTCCTAGTAAGATGGCATATTTGCTATATAAGGCAACAAAATTGATGAGGACATCAGTCAGAGATTTTGACATGGGTACCGTCTTCGGAGTCGTAGATCGACGACTACGATCCATAGTCTTTACTTTTGATATATTTTATATTTTATTTTATTTTTGCATTTTATATTTTTCTAGTTTACCCCTATGGGTAGTTAGTCGTTATTGTAGCCCCGAGGGCACTTGTGTTTTTTAGTTTTTTTTTTTAGGCCTATATATTAAGGTCTCTTAGCTTTGTAATGGTTAGTGATGCTTATGAATGAAATTTCCACTTTCTTTGCATGATCTCTTGGTGAGTTCTTGAGAGGAGCAACCCTAAGTGGGTAAGAGTAATACCTGTCAATCTTGGTGGATTCCAAGGTTCGCGGTTTATCGTTTATTCCTTTCCACCGCATCCACCATCCTCCATCCCTTGCTCAACCCGCTGGCCTCATCATCCCCATCCCCTTCTCTTTCTAAACCGAGCCTTCCACCTCCCCTAATCCCACTCCGTCGGCTCCTTGGCCCTCCCAACCGCCGGCCGCCCATAAGCAGCCGCCGGTCCCCACCCCTGCCACCTCTCCTCCCTTGAACAACCTGCCGACCCACCTCCCAAGCCCTCAAATTTGAAATTCGAATTTCAAATATTCCATTACTCACTTTCCTAAAACAAGCCTTAGTCAATTAGGAAAGTTTCATATTGGGAATTCAATTAAATAATTGAATTCAAATACTTTCCTATTGTCTAACTCTAAGTTAGGAAACCTCTCCAATTAAATCAAATCTGATTTAAATTTAAGATTTTGATTTTACTCTTTATTTAATCCTTGGGACCCACCTACTTAAAACAATACCCTCTCTTTCCTATCTCTACATGGCCGGCTCCATCAAAACCCTCCTCTCTCTCCAATGTAAAGCCTAATCCCACTATATCAACCCCTATTTCCCTCTTAAAATTGCCGGCCCCTTTCTCCTTTGGGAATAATTTGAATTTCAAATTATTCCCTCCCTTCCCCCTAAGGAACTTCTAAAATTAATTTCAGATTTTCCTAAACCCTCCTCCTCCCTCTAACCTTAGCCCTACCCGCCCCTCTTCCCCTCTTCCTCTCAAACCACCACCTCACTTTTCCAGCCCCTCCTCCTACCTCCTTCCAACCGGCGGTTTCCCCAAAGCACATCCACCAAGAGAGTTTCAATGTTTAATTATGGCGAATTCGGAAGTTGATCACGGGCTTATTCTCAATTCTCAAGGGGAGATTGATGTCATCCAATCACCATTCTTTGACCCCGGATTTGGATCCGAAAGCACCGTCAAGGAATATGTTGATGTAACCTCCCCCACTTAGCGGACGTCATCGATGAACATAGCCCTATTGGAGAGTGGAAGATCACCGGACGACCACCCGTTCCTCCAACTCGGACTCCTTCCCCGGCGACTAGTACCCTCGGCATCGCATGTCTTCTAGTGGCGTCTCTAAGTTTGCTTGCAACATTCTTCCGCTAAGCCAATCACTTTCAAGAGCGTGAGTGAGGGATCCCAAGGTGAACGATCTAATTATTAAACTATGGATTTTGTTAACGTCATCGACGAACAAAGTTCTATTAGAGAGTGGAAGATCACCGGACGACCACCCGTTCCTCCAACCCCAATGACTAGTTCCCTCGGCATCGCATGTCTTCTAGTGGCGTCTCTAAGTTTGCTTGCAACATTTTTCCACTAAGCCAATCACTTTCAAGAGCGTGAGTGAGGGATCCCAAGGTGAACTATCTAATTATTAAACTATGGATTTTTTTAACTTGCCATTTGCTTTACTCCTTTATTTGTTGTTGTTATTTTGCAAGTATCCTAGTAATCTCAATTGTAATCGCTTGCCAGTACTTAGTCTTTTCATGGAATTTTCTAAGATCTAACTTGAAGAAGCATCCGTTTATATTTAGCCAAGCAAAGTTCACATTTTATTAATTTCTTAAAAGCAATTATTGTTCATCATCATTGTTTCACATCAAAAATACACGAATGCTAAAAAAATGCTCTAAAGTTTTAAACTATCTCATTCAACGCTTGCTGCAAAATCTAATGAGAAGAAGAATGATCATGCTTCTCAGCTAATGCCTAATAAGAAGTGCCATTATTTAATAATTTCTATTTCTCTAGGAGGTTCATTTAGAAGGCATGGTCACCATAACTTTATGACTTTCCTATTCTTCAATAGACTATAGTCTTTGACTCCACAATGCCTAATCTTTGTGATCATGGAGGCCATCTAAAACAAGAAGTATTTTGTTTGGACTTAACCTCTTTTGAAAACTGATGAAGTTGAGAGATAAGAATTATCTCTATCTTTGCTGCGATAGTTTTGTATTGAAGGCTTTAATTAAGCAATTGATCTTTGAGGGATATCTGAAGGAGTTTCTAGTTAGTTAATGCAATAAGAAGTAATAGCTGAATGTTGGCTAGGCTGGTTCTTGTGAAGTAAATGGGATATTAGGCATGTTGAGCTCATGATTGGAGGAACTAGTTATGAAGCTGACACAAATAGGTTATGTTTCTATGGTTTCAGAGCACAAGTATCCAATATTAGGCATGTTGAGCATGTTGAATATGAGGTTTCTACAAGTATCCAATATATCTTCCATTTTATTTTTATGTAGGTTACCGTACAAGTTATGGATAAAAAGCTTGGTCGTATGGTGACCCGTGTGGTCCTACCCCGTGTGGTTATGCATTCTAGACATCACTATGGAGTAAGAAAAAATATTATTGGATTTGAATTCTAACGTTTACATGTAGCCTTATATATATACTTGATATTTTATATTTAACAACTGGCATGTTTCCTGTTCACTTATTGCTATATCTTATTTATTCTTCAGGCTTTCTCGGAAAACTTTACAGGCTTAGAGTTAGAAGATGGAGGGGGGAAAGGGACTTCTGGTACTTTCGTATTTGCCAGCTTGATTCATTGTTGTTAGTGATTGCTGGTTCTGTTAATTTATCCTTCATTCTACCTTTGCTTTTTTTCTATTCAGGGTCACATTGGGAGAAAAGGCTATTGATGAATGAGATTATGACAGGATCAGTAGATACTAGATCAGTAGTGTCAAAAATGACTTTGGCTTTATTAGAAGATAGTGGTTGGTATCGAGCTAATTACAGCATGGCAGATCATCTTGGTTGGGGAAGAAATCAGGGGACAGAGTTTGTTACCCTGCCTTGTAATCTCTGGAAAGCGGCATATCATTGCAACACCACACAATTGTCAGGTTGTACATATAATAGGGAGGCGGAAGGATACTGTCCTATTGTAAGCTACAGTGGAGATTTGCCACAATGGGCTCAGTATTTTCCTCAGGCCAATAAAGGTGTTGCCTGCGATATTGTTTTTTTATTTTTTATGTAAATCTCTCCTTTATTGAAGTTTAGAAATTTTGTTTTTATTGTTCCAATCCTTGTTCTTTAAAAGGACTGACTACGGTTTTCAAACACATGATTATACCACTTGCCTTTTGTAGTTGGATAAGATGGTGCGCTTACCTAGGCCTTTCATTACATGAAATTGTTTGCTTGATCAGGATGGAAATCAATAGCTAGCTTGATTCTATCTCAATTTTAGACAAACAAATAACAAACCTTCTGTGCCTTCTACTTAGTTGGATTGATTGACTCTATCTTGCACTTCATTCTGAAATCATTATGTTTAGTTGCGCAAGTGCATAAGGCATCTTTTCTGTCTTCTCGTTCTTGAAGACATGAAACAAGGTTCATCTGTCTATTTCACTTCAAGTTGTCTTTCTTGGGATGCACAGGGCCTTCACTTTTACGAGAAGGAGCCTGGAATAATTTTATTTTTAAGCTTTGTTTGGATTGAACGAAAGTAAAAGAATTGAAATGGAATTTCAGCAATTTGCTGGCTGATTATGAATATGGAAGTTCTTTGTTTGAGTTTTTTAGCTTTTTTTTTTTTCTCTTTTCCATTTGTTTAAATGCTCCTCGTCCAAACGCAGCCTTGGTTATGATTCTTTGGGACTATATGGATTAACTTTGATGTTTCATTTTCCTATTTTATACATTTTTCTCTATGGTGGCAGTTTTTAATCTGGTTAGTATGTTCCGCATGGATTTCATTTTCTGCTTTGTTGGTGCAGGTGGGCAATCATCATTGGCCGACTATTGCACATACTTTGTAGCATATTCTGATGGATCTTGCACTGACACAAATAGTGCACGTTCACCTGACAGAATGCTGGGTGAGGTGCGAGCAAGTAACTCCAGGTGAGATGATCAAGATATTTGACAAGCTCGAATTTTATTATGTTGCATTTATCACTGGTAAAAGGCCACTGTTTGCAGGTGTATGGCTTCATCTCTTGTACGAACTGGATTTGTGAGAGGATCCATGACTCAAGGGAATGGTTGTTACCAACATCGGTGCACCAATAACACATTAGAGGTATTTTTGCTACCATTTTTCCTATAATGCGTGGTTTTTTTGATAGCTTCCTTTTGAATTTCGAACTTTACAATTCTATGCTTATGGCTTTCCTTTCAAATTTTGTCTATATAATTAATCTCTCAATTTTTAGAATGAAGTCTAGATTCTCTTCTTTTTCTTCTTTGGAGTAACTCTTTTCTTGACATTGCTAACAACATCATTTATCATTAGAGTTGCTGCGTCCTGGAATATTCGCGGCGGTAGAGAAATATATAGCTTAACGTCTTAGCATTGCACAAAGATCCAGCACACAATCGGATAAGAGAGAGGGTGTAGCATTCATAAGAGACACCAGAGTTTTTTCGTGGAAACCCCTGAAAAGGGGGAAAACCACGGGGCCTGGCCCAGTTTGAATGAATCCACTAGTATTTGCAGTCGATTACAAATGAGGCCCTTCCTTAGGAGCAGGCCTTGGCTTGATGTCACAAATGTACATCATATAGAGCGCATTACATGGTGGGAGTTACAATAATCAACATAGATATGTTTGTTTGGTTTGAAGGGTCATAGTCGGCACGAGACAGGGTTCCGAAAGACCGTAGTTGGCATGAGACCGGGGTCAGAAAGGCCATTGTCTTAAAATGTAGGTCGGAAGGACTGTATTATGCAGGAGACCGAGGTTAGAAAGACCATTGTTTGACGATGTAGGTTAGGAGGACCATAGTATGCAGGAGACCGAGGTCAGAAAGACCGTTGTTCTGCGATGTAGGTCGGAAGGACCGTAGTAGGCGACGAAGGTCAGAATGACCATATGAGGCAAGAGACAGGGATTCGAAAGACCATTGTCTGGCGATGTAGGTCGGAAGGACCGTAATATGCAGGAGACCGAGGTCAGAGAGAGTTGTCTAGCGATGTTAGGTCGGAAGCACCATTGTAGGTGGAGGTCGGAAGGACCGTAGTCGGCAGGAGACTGGGGTCAGAAAGCTTTGTCTGTTGATGGAGGTCAGAAGGACCATAGTAGGTGACGGAGGTCGGAAGGACCGTAGTCGGCAGGAGACCGGGGTCAGAAAGACCGTTGTCTGGTGATGGAGGTCGGAAGGAGATCGGGGTTAGAAAGTGTTGTCTGTTGATGGAGGTCGGAAGGAGACAGGGGTCAGAAAGACCGTTGTCTGGCGATATAGGTCGGAAGGACCATAGTAGGCGACGAAGGTCAGAAGGGCCATAGTCGGCAGGAGACAGGGGTCCGAAAGATCGTGGTCGTAGGGCGGTACAATGGAAGAACTTTGGACATCAGGTGGTGGCCTAATAGAAGTTCGGGCCTCAGGCGGTGGTCCGACAGAAGTCCGGGCCTCAGGTGGTGATTGACAGAAGTCCGGTGGAAGTCCGGGCTTCAGGCGGTGGTTCGGTGTAAGTCCCAGCCTCAGGTGGTGGTCCTGCAGAAGTTCGGGGTCTTAAGTGGTCGGCAGAACAACGATGACGTCAGACGGTGGTCCGGCGGAGCAACGATGTCAGGCAGTGGTCCGGCAGAGGTGAGAGCCTCCAGTGGTGGTCTGACGGAGGTGAGTGCCTTAAGTGGTGGTCCGGCGGAACTCAGGGTCTCAAGTGGTGGTTTGGCGAAGCAATGACGTCAGGCGGTGGTCCGGCGGAGGTGAGGGGCTCCAGTGGTGGTCCGGCGGAGGTGAGGGCCTCAAGTGGTAGTTTGACGGAACAACGACGTCAGATGGTGGTCCGGCGGAGGTGAGGGCCTCCATTGGTGGTCCGACGGAGGTGAGGGCCTTAAGTGGTGGTCCGGCGGGGCAACGACGTCAGGCGGTGGTCCGGCGGAGGTGAGGGCCTCAAGTGGTGGTCCGTCGAAGGCAAGGGACTCAGGCAGTGGTCCGGCGAAACTCCGGTGGTGGTTCGACGAAACTCCGGTGGTGGTCCGGCGAAACTCCGACGTGGTCGAGGAGCTTCTTTCTTGTCTTCCTTCTCTTCTTCCTTTTCTTATCTTCTTGCTTGGATTTCCCCATTCAAGAGAAATGAGATGTCTATTTATAGATTTCTGGAGTGGCATGACCCGCAAATATGTGAGAGATTAAGAGCAAATGGGGAGTGGTTGGATGGACTGCCGATATTGAATCCCTTGATTGTGGACCGTTTGTCAGACATTTGAAGGTCTTAGTGATGTTGGAATTCGACGATCTTGGGCTAGTTGGATTCGTCTCGTCGAGCTGTTCGATTCGACTATAAGCACGTCACGTTTGGGGGGCTAGTTGGATTCGTCTCGTCGAGCTGTTCGATTCGACTATAAGCACGTCACGTTTGGAAACCATTTGGTAATCCAAATTGTGGTTTGAACCTTCTAACAACGCTTTGAGTCCTTGATTTGGACTCATTTGGGCTCAGATTGAGTTGAATTTGGTGTCGTTGGGTTCGTATTTCCGAGACGTTCAGTTTGACTGTAAGTTTGCTGAGATCGGAGTTTAGATGGTCCCAATTTTAATTTTGGAAGTTTCAAACTTGATTTTGCATCGAGATTCGTGCCCGATCAAGATAATTTTTTGACGACGGATCAAGACTTATTGTAATTGAGGTTGGAATCCTAATTTCTTAATTTTACATGCGTTATGAATCCACAAGTACTGCAACAGATGATTGGATAAGATGTTCGGTGTTAGACTGTTGCAAAATTTATAGTTTTGGATTCCTTTGCATTGCTGATTTCTTTTTTTGGCTAGACTGTGATATTCTATGGACTAAAACCTTATGGCATTTGCAAGAAAACTGAAACCAATTTTCATTTTCTAGGACTTGACCATTTTAGTTTTTCTTAATAAAGTTGGCACTCGGAAATTTGCAGGCCCTTCCCCATCTGCTATAGCGATTCTGCACAGCTCACGTTGTCTGTAAGATTTTCTTGCATTATAGTTTGTTAGGTATCATGAGATGGGGATGTTAAGGATAAGTTAGGACATAAATGTGATGGTTCACAGCCAAATGAATGCTGGCTTACTAATATCTGCATTGGTTTGGTTTAGTTGACTGTTGTCTGTTTGTATTCTGAGCTGTGATCAACTAGTTCCATAGTTAAAATCATCTTTTGTGCATTGATCTAAACGATGAACCATCATTCAAATATCGAAATTGTGACAATCATTTTAATTTTGTATGCTTGGTTAGGTTGCAGTTGATGGGGTCTGGAAAGTATGTCCTGAAGTGGGTGGTCCTATCCAATTTCCCGGTTTCAATGGTAGGGTGCTGGCACAAATATGAGATATATGAAAGTGGTGCTTTGTTGCACTTATTAAATTTCAAGTTTCTGATGATGCTGCAGGTGAACTGATTTGCCCAGCCTATCATGAGCTGTGCAGTGCCATTCCAGTTCCCGTTAATGGACAGTGCCCAGCCTCTTGCAGTTTAAATGGTGACTGTATCAATGGGAAATGTTTCTGCTTTCTTGGTTTTTATGGCCATGATTGCAGCATGCGTGAGTTCTAAACCTTTTGAGTCAGTTTCTTCTTGAGAAGTTTTTATTCTTAGTTGTATCTGATAAAATTCACTGAATTGTTTATGTTTGCACGATGAGATTGTAGTTTTTGTGTCAGCCATTGTTTGTGAAGTTTAAAGTAGCATAGGTTGGTTGTGCACCGTATAACATTATACTCATAATACTCTTAGAATTAATGCGACTAGACAGAGGGTTTTGGTAGTTAAAACTAACGTCATTTGATGATGTCATGTGGTCAGTTCCTGGTCCTTTAAATCGAAATAGAAGTTGCTCTTCAATGATTCCTTTCAGTGTGCCGTCAGTGAGTTTTAATCCATTTCGGTTGCCTGTCAAGCCTTACTCGGTACATGCAAGTTGATTATAAATTGTTGGTGCCTTTTTAAATTTCTTTTAATGATTGTCACTATAATAGCATAATGAAATTCAATATTGACTTAAAGCTTCTTTTATATGGTTGTAACTATACTTTTTAACCAACTGTTAATATTCTGACTTCAAGCAGGCTTGACGTTTTTACTGATTTTAGACATCATTAGCTGATTGGTGGCGAGCTTTATGGTTTTTGGTGTGTATGCGAGCTCTTACTTTGCCTCTTATCCTTTCTTCAACTGTAGAATCCTGCCCAAACAATTGCACTATAATAGCAGAACAAAATTCGATATTGACTTAAATCCTCTTTTATATGGTTGTAACTAAACTTTTGACCAACTGTTAATATTCTGACTTTTTTTTACTGTTTTTAGACATCATTAGCAGATTGGTGGGCAGCTTTATGGTTTTTGGTGTGTATGCGAGCTCTTAATTTTCTCCTTGTCCTTTCTTCAACTGTAGAATCCTGCCCAAACAATTGCAGTGGTCATGGGGCCTGCCATTCAAATGGCATCTGTGCATGTGAGAATGGACGAACCGGGATAGATTGCTCCACCGGTATTATCTTTACTTCCACCACCTCGCAAGAGTTGTGCAATTTCCTTTACCATCTAATCTATCATTTTTTAAGACTGAGCAGTGGCCTACTTGAATGCACGATAACAAGAAAAAAAAAAAAAGATGGATAAAGACGAATCATTTCATAATCTATTTGTTTTGATGTGCAGCCATCTGTGATGAGCAATGCAGCTTGCATGGCGGTGTTTGTGACAATGGCGTATGCGAGTTCCGTTGCTCTGACTATGCTGGTTATACCTGCCAGAACAGCTCCATGTTGCTACCTAGCCTCTCAATTTGCAGTGATGTGCTGGCCCGAGATGGATTTGAGCAACACTGTGCCCCCAGCGAACCAAGTATATTGCAACAACTTGAAGCAGCTGTGGTCATGCCCAACTATAATCGTTTGATGCCGGCTGGTCAAACCTTGCTAAGCATCCTTGACAATGGCTATTGTGCCGCTGCTGCTAAGAGGCTAGCTTGCTGGGTAAAGACACTTTCATTTCACATTTAAGTTTCAGAATTCTAATTACATTAAGCATTTGCTTGTTCAGATATCGATCCAACGGTGTGACAAGGATGGAGACAACCGGCTTAGAGTGTGCCACTCTGCGTGTAGATCATATAACTCTGCTTGCGGAGCTGGCCTAGACTGCTCTGACCAAACCCTATTTAGCAGCGAGGAGGAAGGGGTGGAGCAATGCACTGGTTATGGTGAAATAAGGCCTTCATGGGTGCGTCGCTTCAGAAACTTCTACTCCAGGAATCATAGTCGGTAGCTACTACATCAGAATTGTTTGTAGAGAAATTATGTTTCCATTTTATGTATTTCTTTTGGTTTCTTTATATTTTTATTTTGTAGTTTATAGGGTAGAAATCAGTCACGCCTGTATTTCTGCGTGTTGAATCGTAAGATATGATCATAGATAGCGAGGCAGTGAATCCTTAAAGAAGGATTCCTGTGTGGGTGCTTGTGATAGTTTGTTTTTGGGGTTTTCTCTAAGATGAAGCCCGCTCTAAAGCTGAGAGTAATTGTGATACAGAAATTCTGTATTTTGTTGGTGGAAAGCAAGAAATATGTTAATCCTTGTGTTCTTTCTTCTTTATCTTACGTAGTCTTTGTTAAATAAAATAATCGTCAATTATGGATATGCAGCTTTGCAGTAAGTTTCAGAAAGATTGATGAAGCTCAAAAGTTAAGCAGCAGCGAATCAAAAGTAATGTTGATCGCTGGGGACAAGAACAGACAAGATATATAGTTGAGGCAGGCTGGGAAAGCAAGAAATAATTAGATCTTGAGAAAAAATAAAATAGGGAAATATATGAAAAAACAAGGCGCCCTAGAGAAAAAAAAAAAAAGAAGAAAAAAGGTGCCCTACACAGAATAGCATTTACAGCGACGTTAAAATAGCTCTTTTTTGTTTTTTTCAGTGATTAAAATCATTGTCAAAGCTTATATTATTTTCCTACTAATTATACACCTTTTTTAACTATTAAAAAAAAATTACACTACAGTTCCACTCGGCCATCCAAAATGTGCACAGCAAGAACTCATAATATCTATTTATTAAAATTATACATTATAATTGGTACAAGTTTATGATTAAAAAAATATATTGATGCTTTATCAAAAGAATTCATATAATCACATATGAATCTTTCGAGACTTTTCAAACTCAAATTTCAACAAGTTCTAGATGAACTGAATCTATAAATGAGATGTGCCCAACGACACTAAAAGTTTTGATCAAGTTCAAATCAGCTCAAACTAAATATCTGAAATGTAATTTAAAACTTCATGATATTTTTGATAGACGAATGAAATCTGTACATTCTTCTTGCCTGGAGGAACCAAACAAGCTATTGACCACTTAATTTCAGTATCATTAAGGCACTTGCAGTTGCACGCCTAACAAATAGTTTGTGATGGAGGAAATTAGCGTGTGTATTTGATGGTGACGTCTAGCCAACAAGGGTGAGGGGATGCACCTCTTTGTCAAGAAGGAAAGGAGAGAAGAAAATTGATGTGGCTACAGCTCTAGGGTGTCAATCTTTTGGTGAAGCAGAGATGCAAATGTCGATCATGTTGAAAATAAATTCAATAACGTCTGGAGTGGGATAAAGTTAATAACTTTGTAGAGAAGCAGAGATTATTACACATAGAGTCTAGACAAAAGAATCATCCGAATTCTGTTGGGGATACAGTAAATACATAACAATATACAATTTTATTTTTTTGTTGTGTATTTATTGTGTCTCCTCATAGAATCCGGACGATTCTGTTGTCCGAACTCCACACGTAATAATTTCTTCATGTTGACAAACACCTTCCTCATCGCAACTTTGCTGACATCATCATCTTCTTGAAGCTTTGCAGATTTTTCTTGATTTGGTTAACTACTACTTAACTTATACCAAGTTTTGTCTTTTTATTGCACCATCAAGCTCTTTCACAATGTTCCATTTAGTTTCTTTGCAAAACTCCATTAAGTTCCTCCTCACCTGCATCGAATTTCCTTTTTGATTAATGACTACCAAGTGCACTTCTCGGTCATGTGAGAAATTATTATATGCGGAGTCTGGATGTAACTCTTCGTCCGGACTCCAATGAAATTGTGACATGTGAATATTTAATATGGTTTTGTATTTTATTTTTCTCTTGCCAACCCTATTGATCCATCCTAGAGGCTCGGTCCAGAGTTAAAAATTTTGAATTCACGGGAGATCAAAAGTCTCGGAGCCTGTTCACTTTGACTCTTAGCATTCACTTTTCATCTTCAACATTCACTATTCACTTTCATCTTCGATATTCTAGACGATTCATTGTTCAATTGTATTCAGGCGCTAAGTTTAACATCCACCAACAAAGCTAGACCATCAATCTTGTTCAGTTCATCTTCAAAGAGATGCTTTTTTTAGCTTATCTATTAAAATAGGTTTTTGGGTTTACATTTAAGGTTTTTAGGGTTTGGGATATTTGCTTGTTGTTTTATAAGTTAGCCCGTGACCCTCCAATGAATAAAAAACATAATCCATTGTTAAAAAGTGAAAAGGGTGTACACGGGTTGGACGCTTGTGGTACTGCAAACTGGGGAATGTAAATCACATGCAAAATTTGTATTGATTGTGTTGAATATGAATGGACTTTTTATTGACTTGGTTAGTATTAGCTACGTATGAACTATGTATTGACTATGTTTCGACTGTGTGTTTACCGCATATTCACTAGTATTGATTATGTATCATCTATGCATCGACTGTATTCCATTTTCAAAATTAGGTTGCGAAGTTTTCAAACTTTTGAATTGTTTTTGTTCATCTTTGACTTTTTTTTTTAAAACTTAGTATTAAGGTGTATTTACTGTATATTAATTGTGCATTAACTGTGTATTTACTGTATATCGATTATACATCAAATGCGCATTCAGTGTGAACTTGTAAGGAAAATTATTTTTGTTGAATGTGCATTCAGAATTGAATTTTAATAAAAAATATTTTTGATAAACTATCAAGATAACATCATTGTGTATTTATTGCATATCAATCGCGGATTAACTGCTTATTATTCTGTGATGTCTGTAGATGTATGTTTGGCTTATTAATTATTATTTCTATGTATCAAGTTTTAGAATTATCTAGGACTCATTCATCGAGATAATGAACAACGATGTTGAGGACATCTTAAAGAGATTAAACATCTGTCAATTTTTGAAGTTCCCACCATTCCAGCAAAATGTTTCATTGATGTATGAGCTATTGAAATTATGAGATATTCCTCAACAATACTTGATGACCAAGGGTCATGAGATAAAATTCACCTCAGACGAAATGTCTCTACTTACATGATTGTCAAACAGAGATGCCGAGATCTACTGGTAGAGCAAGCCACTTACAGGATACAAATCAATAGATATTAAGAGTAAGATGATAGAAATCAATAGATCAACTGATCCATCAATTATGTTGAAAGATATTTATCATATTTTGTTGTCAAATTTATTTTCCCCCCTTAACAACTAAAAAAAAAAGCTCCTTACTATTACAAATAATATAGATGACTTTTCATTTATTAATTGGACCGGGACCATAAGGGATTTCTTAATTTATGAGTTTAATAAAATTTCTAGAAAGTTTGCTATGCAAAAGTCACTGGGTTATATAAATTGTTGTATACATATGCTAATTGTGAGTGATAAGAGCAAGTAAATAGTATTCTAATTATTAATTTATTTTACTAACTCATTAGCTAATATTATTATTGATCTTATGCATATTTGATTATTGGAATACTTTTCAATTAATGTCACCATGTACTCTAACTTAAGACTCTGTTTTCTTCGATGGGGGCAATGTAGATATATTTTATTCTGTCAAAAGGCCTCCAATTTATTTGATACACTAAAGTAAAGGCATGTATACATGTAAATTTGTCATGAAACATGTTTTAATTAATACCCCTATGATTGGAGATTTGCTAACAATGGAATAATTTCTATGTAAATTTTTTATGTCCTCCACGGAGTAACTCATGAGGAAGCAGATAACCTACTAGTTGACTGCACTACCATCCATAACTTTCAAACACCAAACCCTCCTCATTCTCCTCAACAAATCTCCTCTCCAATAACTAAAAAATCCAAAAAAGGCTCATTACTGTTACAAATAATATAGATGAGTTTTCATTTACTAATTGGACTGGGACCATAAGGGATTTCTTAGTTTATGAGTTTAATAAAATTTCTAGGAAGTTTGCTATGCAAAAGTCACTGGGTTATATAAATGATTGTATACATGCTACTTGTGAGTGATAAGAGCATGTAAATATAGGCTGATTCTATTGAAGATAGGTTGGTCTTGAGCAACTAGAAGTAAATGTTGATTCTATTGAATACAAGTTCATCCACCATATTGCTCAATCCTTTTTCTTCCTCATCATTATCATCCAGAATCAGCATTAGACCCTTCTAGTAGGGAGTCTGAAGCAAAATGTTTGAAAATTTTATGATTCCTCACCCAATCCGACGCATAAGAAAGTTCTTCATGCCATTGTAAGTGAGAGCAGCTTGCCATAGTGTTTTTTTTTTTTTTGGTGTGACCAGTCAACTAATATATGTTTGTTATAGTATTTAGATAAAAAAACCTATAGAATTTTCCCTTTAGGTTTGAGAGAGACTTTTCTATCACACAATAAGCACAATAAATTTGATCTTGAGCAACCTTTTGCTTCCTCATCCTTATCATCCAGAATCAGCATTAGATAGTAGGGAGGCTGAAGCAAAATGTTTGAAAATTTTATGATTCCTCACCCAATCCGACGCATAAGAAAGTCCTTCAAGCCATTATAAGTGAGAGCAGCTTGCCATAGTGTTAATTTTTTTTTGTGACCAGTCAACTAATATATGTTTGTTATAGTATTTAGATAAAAAAAACCTATAGAATTTTCCCTTCAGGTTTGAGAGAGACTTTTCTATCACACAATAAGCACAATGCATTCCTCTACTTCAACCATCCAACTTGAATTCTACTAATAATATCCCCACATATATCACCATCACTCTAAACAATATACCCAAGATATCTAAATTGAGTGCTCTTATTAATGACATGATCCCCCAAAGTCACAATCCCTCCACTAGATCTATTATTACTAAAATTACACTCTATATATTCAGTTTTAGATCTACTCAAACGAAAGCCTTTTAGACTATAAGGTTGACCTCCATAATTCATAATTCAAGTTTACCTTCAACCCCTTCTCTAGTCTTATCAACAAGAAGAATATCACAAGCGAAAAACATACACTAGGGTGCAACCTCTTGCAAATGTCCACAGAGAACATTCATGACTAAAGCAAAAAGATATGGGCTTATGGTTGATCCATGATGCAATCCAACTGAAATAAGAAAACACTTAGTCAATCCACCTTGTGTCTGAACAGAAGTAACAGTTCCTGCATACATATCCTTAATGACTTAATATAAACATTATTAACCCCTTTCTTTTCTAGAACTCTCCATATCACTTATCTTAGAACTTTATCATATACTTTATATAAATCAATAAATATCATATGTATATCCTCCTAATTCTCTCTATACTTCTCCATCAAACCACTTAATAAATGTATAACTTCCATAGTAGACCTACCAGGCATGAATCCAAATTGATTTTGAGAAATGCTAGTATCACGCCGCAAACTATACTCCATAACTCTCTCCCATAGTTTTAAAGTATGACACATTAACTTAATTACTCTATGATTCACACAATCTTGTGCATCATCTTTATTCTTAAAAATATGAATCAACACCCTCATTCTCCACTCATTTGGCATCTTTTTAGTCTTCAAAATAATATTAAAAAGTTTAGTAAGATAAAAAATTCTTTCATCTCCTAAGCATTTCCATATTTCTATTGGAATATCATCCGGTCCAACAACTTTTTCACTCTTCATTTTCTTTAAAGTCTCTTTAACTTCGGTTTTACTAATACGTTGATAAAAACAAAAATTTTTATTTTCATTTAGGGTGCTAAGGTTACTAAAGTTAATTGCTTTCTCATAATCTTCATTTGAAAAGTTTAGCAGAATATACCATCCACATTTGTTGAATATCATCTTCTAATAAAAATACTTTTTAATCTTCATCCTTGATACACTTCACTTGAATTAAATTCTTACTACTTTTTGTTTGACTAACATACATATGTATTTCGCCCTCCTTAGTTTCTAATATATTATATAAATTATTAAAAGCTAAAATCTTTGCATTGCTAATTGTTTTCTTAGACTTCCTACGAGCATCTTTATTATCTTTCCCAATTGTCAAAGTTTTTATAGCTAAACTAATTTTTATAACTTTTCTTATTTTTTATCTTTTACTACAGATTTTGATTCCACCTCTAACTATTTTTACTATTAGTAGCTTTCCTTTTGATACTCCAAGCACATATTTTGTAACATTCTTAATAATACTAACTACTTTTCCCACATAACATTAACATCCTCATGCACAGATAAAATCTTAAAATTTAGATTCTTACTCTTAAAATATTTTTATTAATATTTTTTAAATGCCCCAATCTAATCCTAAAATAATGATTTATTTTATTTTTAATATTATGCCCCTTCACCTTAAAGTCCAAAACTAATAAGCGATATTAGGTACATAAACTTTCACTTAGAATAACTTTACAATTTTTGCAATCTAAACAATACATTTTTCTTATAAGAAATTAATCAATTTGTGTTTTACTACATCCATTCTTATAAGTGATGAGATGTTCATATCTGTTTTTAAATAAAGTATTAGCAATTACAAAATCATAAGCTAAAAAAAATCTAAATATAATCTTATCATATTCATTAGTCACTCCAAAGCCATAACCACAATGAATGATTTTAAAATCATCTATATCTCTACTAATATGTCCATTTGAATCTTATCCAATAAAAACCCTTTCTTCGATATGTATCTTTTGAATTAATTTTTCTATGTCATTCTAAAATTTTAATTTTGAACACATATCCAAACGTATTTGAAAAGCATAAGCGCTTATAATATTAATAAGCTTAACATCAATAATAATCTTTAAAGCTATAATTCTATTTCAAATTATATTAAATTATATTAATTTTTACAATATTATCTTTCAAACTCTTATCAGTAATCACACCTATACCATTTCTAGTACAACGTCAACCAAAATACCATAATTTAAATCATAACTATTAATCTCCTTAGCTTTCTCTCCAACCCATTTAGTTTCCTGAATGCAAATAATATTAATCTTCATATATATCATAATATCTATTAATTCCATTGATTTGCATATAAGCGAACATATATTCCAAATTTCTATCCTAATTTTATGATCATGGACTAGTTTTTTTGCACACATCCATCCATGATGTGATAACCTTTGCCAATTTAATACTGCATCCGAGCACCGATGCATCGGCCCGCCCTTGCTCACTTGTCGATGTATTTAGGCTATACAAGCAATCGCTTCAAGGGAATGCCCTAGCATTAATACAATATATTAAATGATTCATATCATAATTATTTGATAATTTTTACGTTGGTTGTTGACTACCTAATGCAACCATCTACTTTTCTCATCTAGGATTTAAAACCTGACAACGACAGTGTTATATTTACATAATGCCTTCAATGCAATATATATAATATAAATATACGACATCAATACTTGTATGACAACTCAAAGTTAATACTTGAAATAGATGCTCTGCATAAAATATTCAAACACTCCAATGATGATCACATTTAAAATAAATTTCAATCGGAGGGAACCATATAAATCAAAATGCCCCAAAATCTCATGGCAATTTACTTTGGGCTTAAATCTCAACAACCTACAAAATCTCAAAATTCACTAAATATAAAAATATTTCAAGTGAAATATATCACTTAAAACTTTAAAAATAAATTCATCCACCATTAATAACCATTTTTTACGGTGACAAAATTGAGAATACTCTCAGCTCACAAACAACAAATGACTTGCTGAGCATGATGCTACGACCAAATTGCGCATGTAAGTAGTTATGATAAAGGTCTTCTACCAAAATAATTCTGTTATAAAATGACACCATTAAATTAAAATTATGACTAGAGCCCGTAAGTTCTCAAATGAATAAGAACCATTGAGTAATAAATCACATTGTGCACTAGCAAAAAACATTCTATTAAGTATTGTTAACTTAAATTTGTGTGCCCTTAGATAACATTCACCCTATGTCTACAAAAGACAAAATCCCTTAGATAATGCAACATATCACTACCGATAAAAATCCTTCGATCAAGTTAGGTCAATTATCTTGCATAATTAAATAAGCTAGGGACCATGACAACCTAAGATGATAAAATCATAGGATCTTAATTGGGTTAATAATCATTATCCTCCCACCATCCACTTTAAATATAAGATGAAAATTTTCAATCCTAAACAATCAATATGATGCTACTATAGGCCAAATAATTAGTTTCTATCTAAATACCAGCTTTAATAAAAAATTCTCTTATTATTAGAAGGGATAATTAATCATAAGAACTTATTATTATTAAAAATTTAAAACCATAACACAAAATCCTTGCAAAATAATATTTGAAATATCTAAATAGTGTATTATCGTCAATATAATTTAGCTTCTAAAAATTTAACCCAAAACATCCTAAATTCTCTAAATGGAGGCTGGGGCATGAATTTCCAGAGCCCATAATAATCACTATTCATTGAAAATTGTGTTCATGAATCATTATCACTGATAAATAGTTGCGATAAAAAAACTTACACCAAATGATGATAAAACGTTCCTTGCAATAGGTTTTATATTTTATATAAGACTCCAAAAATTGAAGCTGAGTTTATGCGCTTCCATATATGGGTGTAAAAAGTTTTCATGGTACAGCAGATTCAGGCTGAGTCTCTAGAACCATACCCATTGGCTGGCTTTCAGGAAACTCTGACTGCGAAGCAGTAATCTTCGACTTCTTGTAGCTGATCGAGCTCTTGAGAATAAAACTAAGAGGCGTTTTCCGTGCAGAATCATCAGATCTGACCAAATAGCAAACAAAATCAAAACAATAGCTTGTGAAGCAATACCCTAACAAGGGAGAAAACAAAACTTAAAGAACAGACCTGCTATGATTTTTCGTCCTACCATCAGTTTTTTTGCTAATTTCACCACGTTCATCTGACTCAGCACCTTGAAAAAGAATGCAGAAAGAATTCTAGGTAAAGGTTATATCATCTTAAAACAGTAATAACAAGGATAAATTAAATTGGAAAATTTTCTTTCATCAGAATCACTAGACTAACATTAACAACACATTTTTTTCTCATCAAAGAAAAATTCAGCAAAATTAAAAAAGATAAAAAAATACATCATACCAAAGAAGTTTATGACCAACGGAAGTTTCAATGCACTGGCCTTTGTCTGCACTTCCTCAAGGTGACTCTCCGGGTCTACAGATACGGATAAATCATCTAAAGCAGTCTTTATGGAAGCCTTCTTTTTGCAAGTGTCATTTTCACTCTCAGAGCTTGTAACCGAAGCATCGCTAAGTATGCTACTTGGGTTTTTTCTAACAACTCTATATCGCCCTTTCTGATAAGGCGTGTCCTGTGTGCTCTCACTTGATGCTACCTCAGTGGCCATCACATCACTCTGAGAAACATCAGCATTATTAGAGCCAACAGCATCACCTAAAGGGTTACTTGTGGTTGAAGAATTGAGGAACTTGTACCGAACATCATCTTTGGAAACCATATTGTCAATGTCATGATCGGGTACAAGTGATTGAGTCTTCCCCTTCCCATCTGCTACGATCTTCTTCCTTTGTTTATCCCCAATAGCCCCTGATTTTGATAGCTGAACATTCGATTCAGGCTCAAAATTATGAAGCTTCTTATCAAGCTTGGGCTTGTCGTGAGTTTCATGGAGAGACGAGTCAGATTCAATTTTACCAAAAGACGAGTTCTGTTTACCTGATTGCTTTGTGTTTTTAGCTTTACGTACAATTCCAGTCTTAGAATCCTTAGTTCCAGTACCATGTACAACATCGACCGTCTCATGATTAATATCATTTTCTAGAGGCTCACCAATAGCTAAATGCTGTTTATTCGAAGAAGGCTGAACTAAGTTGGTGGGAGAATCCTGATTGGGCTGTTTTATATCAGTTTTCTCGTTAGTACTGTTTTTCTTTCTAGATTCAGATTTTCCAGATGGAGGATCTGCTGCGTGAACAGCTGGATCATGCTTGCCTTCCCTGGGACCAAGGTAATCATCAGGTTTTATGGTAGAATCGTCTGGTCTGCAAAACCGTGCAGGCTCACTCATTTCTGAAGAAACTTGAGATTTTAATGATTCCTTTTTGGACTTCTTCCTGTCACACTTAGATTTAGTTGGAGCTGCCAAGGGTTCATGTTGGGTAACATGACCTTTAAATATGATTTCGGCATTGGATTGCTCAGTGAAATCTTGGAGCTTGCAACTTGGAGATTCGAAGGGATTTACTTGAGGTAGTTCAACCAGCTTTGATGAATTTTCAACAGACAGAGGGGCATTCACCCTCGCATCCATGCAATGCAGATTTATTTTTTGATTGGACTTGTTCGAAAGTTTAGATGGATCAGATCCTCTTTCGTCATTGGATTCAGGTACCAAGCCATTAAATTTCAGTAACAAAACATCACTATTTTCTTGAGATCTGAGTTTAGATGGCTCACACTTGGACTTTTTCCTGCTTCGGCTTGGCTTAGCTTGAACTTCAGAAGATGTCTGTGAAGGAACACTGATCTCTGCAGCTTGTTTAACAAATGCATCGCATGCTTCGCTTAAATTATTAGGAATGCAAATTGGAGGATTACCTGAATTCATGTCAGAGACTTCCTCTTGGTTAGGAATTTTCTTGAAGGATGACAATATTTTAATTATAGCATCTATACTATGATCTCCATCAGCTTTCTGATCAGCTTGTTTGATAAATTTTGCAGCATTGGATTCATTCTGAGCATCATTTAAGGAAACCTGAGCATTATCAGAATTGAATTGATCTTTACGTCCATTTAACTCTGCAGACTCACAAACCCTAGATAATTCAGCTTTTGATTTTTTGGTGGTGCGTTGTGACTTGCTTAAACCTTTATAATCAACTTTTGCAAAAACACATTCCTTATTGGCTCCTTTCAGACTGGAAACTGCATTAGTGGCTTGCTCATGGGAAGGGAACTTTTCAGCAGATGCAGAAATTCCTATATTTGCATTTACATATCCAGCTTCTCCCAAATTCAAATCTGTTATACACTTTGTAGCATAGAACTCCCTGCTTTCCTGATCATTTGCTTCTTTAGGTTCTAAAATTTTGCTTGATTGACTCTGGTACTTATCTGTGCTGCAGTACAACTTAGTTGTAGATTCAGATGCTAAAGGTGAAGAAACTCTAGCCTCTGCAGTTTCTTCAAGATTTACATCAACATTAGTACCTTGAACTGAATTCAAATGCTTTTTGCTTTGATCTTCAGGATTGACTTGAAGAATATGTTCTTCAATAGGTTCTTCATTTATTTTCAAATAACGCCTGCTCTCTTTCTGATTGGAAACTTCCAAAAAACTTGCAGTATCATGTGATGTGCTCATATCTTTTTCATCATTTGCCAATGACTCCTCTATACTTGGTTCAGGAGGGTATTTTCCTGAGAAGATATGAGCACTGGTTTCTTTCCGTGAATTGTGTGAATCTGATCTTTGTTGAGGTGATCTAACAACTACACTTCCATATGGCATAACAATAGGAGCCTCTTCATGAGATTTGGACGACTTTCTTTTTCTTTTCTTAGTGTGCTTCTCAAGTTGGGGATTTTGAAGAGATATGGTATTCTCATAGGGTGATTTAATTGGAAATTCGGAAACTTCTTGAGAAGAAACTTTGGCCTCTGCAGGTTCTTTAGAACTGAAAGCATTGGTATATTGACTTGAATTCATATGCTTTTGGCTTCGATTTTCAGGATTGATTTGAAGAATCTGTTCTTCGATAGGTTCTTTAATTACTTCCATAGAATGCCCGGTTTCTTTCTGATTGGCAACTTCCAGAAAGCTTGCAGTATCATGTGTTGTGCTCGTATCTCCTTCATCATTTGGCAATAATTTTTCGATGTTTGGTTCAATGGGACATTTTTCTGAGAAGATAGAAGCATTGCCCTCTTTTCCCGAATTTTGTGGATCTGTTATTACTTGAGGTGATCTAACAACAGCAGTTTCAGATGGCATAACAAGGCAAGCCACTTCATGAGATTTGGACGACTTGCTTTTCCGTTTCTTCGTATGCTTCTCAAGTGGGGTATTTTGAAGAGATATGACATTCTCATGAGGTAATTTACTTGGTAATCCTTCTGAATAATCAGCAAGAACTTCCTTTTTTCCATCACAATTAATTTTTGGTGAAGCATTCGTTGTTTTATTAGACTCATCAATGTCTTCACTTCTATTGAATTTGTTCTGTCTTCTACAGACTTCAAGGTGTTCTTCATGCAAGCCATCCTTTAGCTTCTTACCACTTTTCTTCTCTACAACAACAGCAGTTTCAGATGGCATAGCAAGGCAAGCCACTTCATGAGATTTGGACGACTTGCTTTTCCTTTTCTTAGTATGCTTCTCAAGTGGGGTATTTTGAAGAGATATGGCATTCTCATGAGGTAATTTACTTGGTAATCCTTCAGAATAATTAGCAAGAATTTCCTTTTTTCGATCACAATTAAATTTTGGTGAAGCATTCGTTGTTTTATTAGACTCATCAATATCTTCACTTCTATCGAATTTGTTCTGTCTTCTACAGACTTCAAGGTGTTCTTCATGTAAACCACCCTTTAGCTTCTTACTACTTTTCTTCTCTACAAAATAATGCTGTGATTGGCTTTCAAGTAATTTATCCTGTTGTGATGTCTTGCTCGTTTTTGAGAATATTGTTTTATGTGTGCAAGTAGCAGAAGGCATGGCATCACTAGCTTCAGTGCCAAGATTCTTGCAATCATCTTTTCTTCTATCACCCTTCTCTTGATCAATCAACATAGTTGGCCTACGACCATGGTCTATGATTGGATTAAGACTTTTTTGTCCATCAGGGTCAATATTTTTAGGTGATAATCCACAAAAAACAATCTCTTGATGCTTGTCCACACTACAAACAGGAACTGCATTATCATGGTGCTTCATTTGTTCATTTGTGACTTCGTTGGGAAGTATCTTTTGATTCTTGACAGTGCAGATAGAGACAATATCAATGCAGACAAACCAGCTCCCCTGAACTCCATCAAAAGCATTCAAGACATACATTGAATCTGTTAAGTTATAGAAGAAACCACGGCGCCTCACCTGTTAGCACTAGTAATTGTCAGTATCACAAGCCATCAATTACAGTGTGATTTCTTTTTCTATGTGCTTCTTGAAAACTCAATCATAAATTAAATGATGTAAAACAAAACTAGGAAACGTAGCTTGCTAAATAAAATTTCCTACGGAGAGGCAAATCATGAGGTAGAGCAATAATGGAGAGTTCTGCAAAATATTTCTCAATTACTGTTGCAAAAGATAAATCCTACTTCAATGAATTTAATAACATAAAGGAAAAAAAAATCATTTTGATAAAAAGATTACTTCAAACAAACACATATAAAAGTTAACAAGAGATTCAGAATGGCATTGTTATCAGCAATTAAAAATAAGTCCATGCATCCAATTGATGCTTAGAAAGATAAATTTATGTGTAGACAATAAAAGGAAAGAAATAAAAGTTGTCCACATACATATTTTGGAGAGCATATAAGCAATACCCAGCAACTAATTTATCATATATGCAATGTCCTTATTTTCAATGGAGAGATGAAATATTGAACTAAGAGAAGAATGTCATGCCTTTATTGCCTGAATGCTGATTTCTCCGATACCCTGGAAGCAAAGAGCGTGTTCGGCAGCTATTTTTGCTGCACGAAAGAAATAAAATAAAAATAAAAGTCAAGATGTTTGTAAAAAAAAAAAAAACAACCGAAACAGCAGAGATTGAAAATGGCAATTACAATGGGGAATTAAGAGGATAGAACAATATAAACCTTTGACTTCGCTGATGGTGTCGTAGAGAGAGACAACCAAAGCAAGATGCGTGTCGACATTACTGTCGACGAAGATCGTATGGAGATTATCAGTAGGAAACGGCAAGATCTCGCTCGCCATCGCTGCTACTGAATATCGATGATGGCTCGGAGCCGACAGAGGAAGAAAATAAGGAGGGATAGAGAAATCGGAACAAAGGGGAGAGGGTTTAGTCGAGGGTTTGCAGCACGGATAGGCGTAGGCTCTGTACTTTGTAGGGCTGTGAATCGGTCGGGTCTAAACCTTAATCTATGAACCGGACTCGGACGGTCTAATTTTGATTTTTTTTTACTGTTTTTTAAAATAATTTTTTGATATGATTTTTTAAAAAATTAGTGAAAAATAATAATTAAAAGTTAAATCTTAAATTTTATTTGGGATAATTTTCTAATTGTTTTGTTAAGTTGATAAGTCGCTATAGACAAAATAATCATTTAGAAAGTTATTACAAAAAGCACATTTTATTAACAAAATATTTTTAAAAGTAATGAAAATTAGTAACAAATAAAAATTATAATCGCAATCTGAAAAACAAAATAGTTAACCAACCGATTCAATTGTTCCCTCTTAATTATACTTTCTCTTATATTAAATAATCAATAATGTTATACTCTCTAAATAAATGTATGTCATTTATTGAGTACATTGGCCTTACCGAGAGGAATGAGGCTCAAAGATTGGCATGTGTGTGGGTAAATTATTGCATCCGGTCATCGGACATGGAGATAGGTCTGGATATTAATAAAATATTATTTTAAATTAAGCGCTTCAAAAGCGCAGGTAAAGTGCAGGTAAAGAGCAGATAAAGCGTAGGTAAAACGCAGGTCAAAGCGCAGGTGACGTGGTCAAAGCGCAGGTGACGTGGCATATTTTTATTGGATGTCCGAACCTATTTTGCGCGTCCAATGACCGGATGCAATAATTTGCCTGTTATTGGATGCCCGAATCTATTCTACGCGTCCGGTGACCGGATGTAATAATTTGCCCAATGAAGTAGGTTAGATAGGTGCTCTTCCTGGAACAAGTGTGACAATTATTGACACACTTTCTACGTACCCAATTATAGAAAAAAAAATACAAATTAACAGGTATCATATCTAACAAATATGTCCTGAAAAATAAATTTTAACTTTAAAAATATATTATTTGAATAACTTAAGGCATTTATTCTTTTCAATTTTAAAATATATTGCTTAAATAAATTAATAGCTACTCAAAATTAATTTTATTATTCTTATTATGTGGCCATAATTTTATATTTACCTGTGTGTGATTTGTGCTTTGAAAGAAAGGAAAAAAAAAAAAAAAAACCAGATCGAATGCACAGATCACTCTACATGCCATAGGCCACCACTCTCCATCTCGATTGAATTTCTGGAACTGATCACCAAGCTGATGTGGGAAATCATTCTAAATGTATCCTAAGCATAGTATTGCTGCTTTCTTGCTTGCGCATGCTTTAGGGTTGACTTGGAGCACTAGTAGAGAGCTCTAGATGGTGAGCTTCTTCTCTCCATGTTGTGGTGATATTCATGTTAGCTATGTATGAGAACTAATCTAGTGGGGTTGATCAAGGAACCTACCTACTCTTTTGTTTCTTGCACCTTCATCTTCCATTGTTGATGCGTAATAGATCGATCGATGTGTGGATATATTAGGGATGTCAAAATTTTGTTTTGATTCGGGTTCGGGTCGAGAAACAAAACAAAGTGTTAAGGATTTATCTTTTGTAAATTGGAGAGGAAAATTTTTTGGTAGTTGTTCAATATGCTTTATGCCAGAACCTACATTACATAAGGAATTTCTTATAGGTCACCATTGAACCAGTTTAAGAAAGCTAAGCCTGCTGCTTATTCTTCTTAACACTTTCTAGATTAGGCACAAGCTTGCTCCACATCCATCCTATCCTACACTGAACCAGTTTCCCAAGTCTGTTAGATTGATGCAGCTTGAAGCCATGATGATACTAGGACACCAAGAGAAACATCAAATCAGATAACTTTGCCTAATCTGATTTATACAGCTATATTCATATATATGCATTGGCCTAATTATGATTTTATTAAAATTATCACTAAGCCTATATGACATTATTTTATCACACAAAAGTCTTGAGAGATTTTCATTGTAATAATCTAATATATTCTTATTTTTATCTTCATTTTTTGTATATTAGGTCCAAAATAGAACTTATCATACCTAAGTTTCATTTTATTTTCTAATAATATTGAATGATATTTATTATCCTATCACTAAAAGTATACATTATATATAATTTATTTTGCTAATTCTAACGCCTTTATATTCTAAATATTTATTTCATTAACTTTCAAAAAAAATTAATTATAAAAATTTTAATATTTCATCATATAGTGGAGATAAATGGATTGTGGATTGTCAAACTATTATCTGATCATGTTGCTAGGTTTTATAATATGTTTCGTATGTCTCGAACAAATTTTATGAATATTTTACATGACTTAGAAACTGCTAATGGTTTGCACGATTCGTCAAGGACTACAGGGATAGAAGTATTGGCAATCACCTTGTATATATTATCACATAACAAATCGATAAGATCGGCGTCTAAACGATTTCAATATTCAACTGAAGAAATTAGTCGCTATATGTCTATTGGATTGAAAGCATTAGTAAGTTTATCAAGTGAAATAATCAAGCCAAAAAATTCAATGTTTCAAAATACACAAAGAGAGATATAATATGATAGTCGTTACATGCCATATTTCAAGATAAGTATGTTGACCCATATGGAATGATGCTTATATAGTTGTATAATATCTAAGCAGGACTTCCTAATCAAGATTGCATTGGAGTTATTGATGGAACGCATGCAGATGCGTGCGTTTAAAATACTGAGAAGACAGCGTATACAAGATGATGTGGTTCACCGGTACAAAATGTAATGGCCTTATATATGTTTCACCTTCATAATGGCTGCCTAGGAGGGTAGTGCACATGATAGCCACTTCTTCAAATTCGTTTTATGTAATTATAAACATAAATTTCCTTTGCAACATGGAGTTTAGTTTTTTATATTAAAAAGTTTCATACTGTTTAATATCTTTACGAAAAAATGATGCATAGTTCCAAACAGGTAAATATCATCTTGTGCACGCTGGATATCTAATGCAACGTGAGTTTTTGAAGCCATTTTCAAATATACGATATCATATTCCTGATTTTGAAAGAGGTAGTCAATTTGTACGTGAGAGGTATGAAATATTTATTAAGTGACATTATTCATTATGTGGTTTCATTGAAAGATCTTTTAGTGTGTGAAAGAAGAAATGTGTTATATTGAATGATATGCCAATTTATTTGTTTGAGAAGAAAGTGAACATAGTACTGGCTACGATGACATTACACAACCATATACGTCGCATCTTACTTGTGATAATCCATAATTTAATATTTGTGATATTGATTAAACATGTTTACCTCAAGAAGCATGTGAGTTTTGAATTGAGCAATCATTGATCGATAATGATGAAGCTGAACCAAATATTGAGTTGAGAGATGACGAGGATGCTGAAGAGAGGATCCATTTACGAGAGGAAATCACAAATGCAATGATGAATGAGATGATTTAGGAGTCATTTTTTTGATCAAATTTTGCGTGAGTCGTTGGTTGATTGTTAAGTAGATAGCATAAATTTATTATTAGTATTTTTAAAAAAAAAATTTAGAGCAGTGTAAGATTTGAAGATATTTATTTGGTATTTATGAGTTTTGATGTGGAAGAATTTGTTAAATCGTTGGCTGCTCATATGGCGGGTCTTTATTTAATTGTGCGACTGTAATTAGTATTTGATTAAAAATTTGACCTTTGCTTTCTTCATTCACTCTGTTCAAATAAAAATATCAAAGAGTTGGTTTTCTTTTATAATTTTTTTTCTCGTGTCTTACTGAGTTTTATCTATTTGCTCAAATGATGAAGAGGAACATTTGAACCAATTAGTGATTGCTCTTCTGGAAATTGGTTTAAGTGTAGAATTTACATAAGCATCTGTTGAAATAAATTAAACATATATACTTCCAGATGATTTTGGATATATTGTATATATGCTTGATATGATGTTATTTGTCATTTAAAAATGATAAAATTATTTGAGCTTCTTCATTATATTGTGAAGCAATTTTTTATATTATTTTGTCAAGTTGAAGGTACCTTTCATAGTACTTTGTCAATTGAAATGCAAGGAAGAACTTGACATTTTCTTCTAATTATAATAATACTTTCTTCATTTAAAAAATCAGTTATCGCTAAATAGCAAGAAGGTTAAGATAAAATTTTATTAGATAAGATTTAATTTAATGGTTAATGTGTTATCATTTAAAAACAAAAGATATATACATAATTATTTTTTATATCAATATATATAAGAGTATGAAAGTAATTTTTTCACATACGGTTGCAGCGCAGTAGCTCGACAATTATACTTCACAAACAAAATATACTGATTTCTATACAGCAACTTCGTAAAGCTATTTTCTATACTACAACTTTATAACCTGCTTTACCGACTGCTGCAGCCGTGCCAAATACACCCTTAATTTTGGGTCATAAGCATTCCATGTTCAAAATAAATTTAATTACTAGGAATGCTTAAATTAATAAACACTTTTGAAGTTAATGTATAAGGTTGGCATTTTATATATTTAGTAATTGCTTAATTTGCGGTTAACATATAGCACAAGTTAAAAGAGGCTTAAGGGTAAAATGCAACTACTTTTGAAACGGGTCAGCTTCAAGTCATTCTTGGGTTTTCGGTACCAGGGTTTTTGAAAACGGGTTAGTTTGTTAAACTCGAACCCGACCCGTTTGAAAAACAAGTTGATTTTGACCTAGAATTTTCGGGTCAGGTTCGGGTTGGATTTTCAGGTCGTGTCAAATATTGATACCCCTATTGAAAAGAGTTATAATATGGAAAAGTTTTTGCTTTTTTTGTTTTGCGG